TCCAAGGTGCTCAATGCTAATGAAACTGGGACAAGCTCCAGCCGTTTGGACATTTGGCCTTCATGGGCCTTCCTTGACATCTAATAAAACCCCATCTAGCAGAAATTTTTGCCACAATTTCAGTTTCACCACCTTGCACTTTGCCACGAAAGCAGTTGCTTCGGGTCACTCAGCCACTGTTTCAGAAGTCTCGTGGCTCATTGCAATTACTCTTTTCAGGCAACCTTTCTGTGAAAACTCGCTGATCATCTGCATCACTTAGGAATTTCTTGATCTTTGTCCACGCTTCTTTCCCATGCTTCTCTAGCAGGGATGATGGCAGATGGTTTAGCATATCCGTGAAGTGGGACTTAGACCTGTCCAAATACTTTGAGAAGCTACAATACTCGTAACAAAAGGTTGACACAGAAGCCATTTGTCTTGAATTTTCTCCAAATTTCTTACATTCACTGTTGACACCTTCGTTCTCACTTAAATTTGCCCCTCTCCTTCCCAAATGTTGAGCCACGCGTATTTTGAAGCAGTGGGACGACTGTAATACCCAAATCAACATTGAGGAAGGGGAAAATCACACAAGTGTTTCAAGATTTGTGACAAGTATTGTCTTTGCGTTGGGAGGGCATGGATGGGTAACGAAACGTATGAAGGGTAATTATTTCCACCTTTAGTGTTAACAATGTCATGAGTATTCTCGTTCTTACTGTTCTAGATGTTAAGTCGGACTAACAATTATATAGCTGGTATGCATACTTTTGATTATGGACGATTTCAACGTACATTTCTCCAAAACCACTTCAGTGAAAAGGCTGTGCCCAAAAGTACATCAGAATTGGACAAGGGGTGCATATTTCAAGACCGAAGGGGAAGAAAAATTACTCAAACATCTGGCAATGGTGACGATGTTTGGTGATTTTTACATTGCAGAAATAATTTTTTGGTGCCATTTTACCACTTGAAACTGATTTGGTATTTATGGTGACACGCTTTTCTTGCGAGCTTCTGGGAGAGAATGGTAGAGAATATCGCTAATTAGTCGTTATCTGAAATAACTACACAGAGGTGTCAGATGAAAACGGAACCCTTTCCTTCTTTTTCCATGATCTTAAAGGTTTTATGTACAAAGATGGGCTAACTATGTAGAGACATACATTATTAAACAAGATCATTCGTTTTAACAAGCTATCTACCTTTTAAGCGCAAAATCTCAACGATTCACCACTGTGTCCTACCGTAAAGTAATTATAGTACCATAGACTTTATGAACTATCGGTTCACGAGGGTGAACCGCTTCAAATAGCATTATTAAATATGTTCATGAAGAAAATTTTCCCTTATCTGTATGTTCTATGATCTTCTCTTCAATTCCAAACACTTATAGATGCAGTAGCTTTTGTTTTTAAGGGCTAAAAAGGCAAAGAATTTCCCGAACACCATGGCGAATCATGTTACACCCAAGCTGCAGCAAATAATATCAACAACCTCGGCAATATTTACATAAGATCCTATTAATTTAATTATTCCTCTTGCGGGAAAATAAGACGACTAAGACATTGTCTACAAGGAGAAACGAATTTTGGCCGTTCCTCGGATATTTGATTGAAGAGACTGAATACTTGCCACCCTACTTTCATCTTCGGATTCTTCCTCTTACCGACAACTCCTTCTCTCACAAAACCGAGTTCATCTTTATTTGTACAAAATATCGGTGTATCTCCCTGGTCAGTATAAAATATCATGTCGGCTGTGTTTTTCCACTTTCCCAGTCAAGAAGCATTAAGAACTCATGCCATGGAATGACCTCCACAGACAACCGAAAATGGTTTTAAAACAGTACTTCGGAGTGTCTCTGCATTGTGCACTCTATATATTACATATTACGTACTTTAAATGCCTTACTTCCATCTGTCATTCTGTCCTACGCGAAAAATAATTCAACATACTGTTTTTCTTTTTAATTTTACTTTACGTACACAACAAAAAAACAAGTATCTTCCATCAACTGTCCCAAAAAATTCACCTTGATCTGAGCCTGTCATTATTTCCTCTCTTAAGACTAAATACAATACTCGTCACAAATCGTTGAAACAGGAGCCATTTGTCTTGTATTTTCTCCAAATTTCTTACATACACTCCTGACACCTTCGTTCTCACTTAAATTTGCGCCTCTCCTTCCCCAATGTTGAGCCACGCGTATTTTGGAGCAGTGAGACGACTGTAATACCCAAATCAACATTGAGGAAGGGGAAAATCACACAAGTGTTTCAAAATTTGTGACGAGTATTGTAGTTCTTGTGACCCCCCTCTTGCTCAGCCACTTGCTTATCCTGGCGAGCTTTGTGGGGCTTTCATAGTGTTCACTGAGTCTGCTCAGCTAACTGTGATATGATCATCACTCATTTCGCTTCCTGTATTGTTGGCAGTACTGTGCAGTACCCCAAATGATCCCCAACCGCAAATGATCCCCAAAATGGACCGCAAATGATTCTTGACAGCCAGTGATCCCGAAAGAAAAATAGGAATGGCTTGGACTCAAGTTTGCGGATCACTGTGTCAATTTTATGATTATTATTACAAAAAGGCACGTTAAAAGCGAAATTTTGCTTCCCAAATAATTATGTAAATAAAAACTAATTGAAAACATTTCTTTCAAGACATTGTTAAATCAAATTAAAGCAAACAAAAAATATACTTTCAACATACTGTTGTTAAAACTTCATTAAATCAAAGAGATGCAGCTGCAACGCATATCAGTGTCTTGTTTAGTTACTATTTCAAAATTAAGCTTAAAACAGTAGACTTGAACGTACTGTAGTTAACTTCCTAATAGATAAGAACTTTCTCTATTCCCGTTATAACAATAGCACTTTTTTGTGTATTACTATGGTCCCGTCAGTCTCCAAATACTTGTTAAATGGAATACCTAGCCACGTGCTTATCGTAATCTGAATGTTGACATTCTTTCTGGCCGGGATAAGTAAAAATAAACAGAACTACCGCTTACCTCGTTTTTGTGGTTTTCTTGACCAGGTTTAGATTCCTGGTAACTGTCTCTAGCAAAGGCACAACAAATGAATATACATATAAGGGTCAATATAACTATTCGCAACATGTTCATAAGCTGTAATGAAGTTGCTATTTCGAAATAAACCGAATTCTGTGAACATTGATAAGTTTGGGGGCATTTTGACGTTTGTTTATTTTAAATCATGTCTTGTTTTGTAACAAGCACTTGGGTTACAAACAAATTTCTTGCTGTTTATCACGTAGAATTAACGCTTCAGAGAATTATCATAATTAAATATCTGAAAATTAATTCGACACGTCCAAAAAGATCAGTAAAGTCAATTAAGCGCTTGTTATGTAAAGGGTGCCCTGAAAAGTACCGCAACAGGGCAAGAAAAACACAAAAACGAGGTAAACGGTAGTTATGTTTATTTTTACTTATCCCAGCCAGAAAGAATGTCAACATTCGGATTACGATAAGCACGTGGCCAGGTATTCCATTTAACAAGTATTTGGAGACTGACGGGACCATAGTAATACACAAAAAAATTCTGTTGTTATAACGGGAATAGAGAAAGTTCTTATCTATTTGGAAGTTAACTACAGTACGTTTAAGTCTACTGTTTTAAGCTTAATTTTCAATTAACTAAACAAGACACTGCGATGCATTGCAGCTGTGTCTCTTTGATTTAATGAAGTTTTAACAATGGTATGTTGAAAGTGTATTTTTTGTTTGCTTTTATTTGATTTAACAATGTCTTGAAAGAAATGTTTTCAATTAGTTCTTATTTACGTAATTATTTGGGAAGCAAAATTTCGCTTTTAATGTGACTTTTTGTAACAATAATGATAAAATTGACACAATGATCCGCAAACTTGAGTCCAAGCCATTCCTATTTTTCTTTCCAGATCATTTGCGGTCGACTTTGGGGATCACTTGCAGTCGAGGATCATTTGCGGTCCATTTTGGGGATCATTTGTGGTCTCAGTATCATTTGCGGTACTGTACAGTACTCCCTTCACCTGGGCCTTCAGCTGGTACTAACTCACTTAAAAAGGAAATTCCCCTTCTTTTTAAGACCTCCTTGGTCACATTAATAACTTCCTGTTTTTATCCTTTTCTACTTTAACGAGGAAAGCATCCATCTTACGGACCATTCCCTGAGCTTATCCTTACTAAGAAGGTTTCAACCAACTCAAACCAAACCACGTGTTGATTATCTACAGGTCTTAAATCAAGTTTCAAGTGAGTTAGTAACCATATGAGAGCATAGCGGTTGGATGCCAACCACCGAGTTCCTTGAAATGAGCAGCTTTACATGAGTTTCCTCATTTGATGATTAAGCAGTTCACCAAGAATACAATTCTACACACCAATTGCAGACCAAATTTACTGAATTGATGGAAGATCACTTATAGCCACCACCATGGAAAATTGTACTTACCCACAAGATTCCCTTATATTACAAATGGTACAAGTACTTTCCAATTCTACCTGAACTATATATGCACACAAAACTCCAACACAGGGTTCTCATCTACATCAGATTTCAAAACGTTGCTCTCAATCTGGTGGTCCCTGCATATAGCGTGTGATCCCCACCAAAATTAAAGTTATCGTATTTCTGTACATCACGAGTTTTTCTGTCTGGTGAACCACCTCCTGTCACGTGTACTCTTCAGAAGTGAAAAGTTTCAATTGCAAGACGCTGGACTCAGGAGGAAAACAATTGTCTTCCACCGTGAAGAGCAACCTCTTGCTGTTGCAAAAAAGGTGGAATCAGTTTACCAAAAACTGAAAGACGCAGGTGGTTTTGAATTGCTGAGGAGTGGGTCATCTAACAAGGACCTTGTGGTTATTACTCCTCCACCATCTGGGAACTCTGTTCCTTTCCGATGCGAATCTTCAGGTCTTAGGCAAGCAGTGGCTTACATTAAACCACTACAAAAGTCTTCTAACATGGCGGTTGTGAAAGACGTTTTCAAGCTAAGGTCACATGCGAAACGAGGAAGGGGAAAAACTGTTCACAGAAAGTGAATTTCTGACTGAACAGCAAATTCAGCCATACTTTTCAAGACGAGCCTCTAAACTCCAGCATTCTCATTCAGACGATCCAGAATCTGATCAAGACGAGGATATTATGGCCACTGAAGAGGAAATTGCGCATGAAAATGTTTGTGCAGTTGTGTTAAAGGAGGTGGGAATAAGGCACCCAATTGTTTTCAACACTTTCAACTTATGTGACATGCAAAAGGCAGGTAAACTGCGACTCCTAAGTGTTTCCATGCTGCGATCCATTTGCGAACATTTTGACATTGAGGTGATGAACATCAAAGGACGATGCAAAGCTCCTTACTTGTCTCTACTTGGGGAACTTCTTGTTGCATGCAGTTGTCATAACAGTTAGGGTCTGTACTGACTAATCAAATTAACATTCCAGCCTCAACATTCTTTGATTTTACATTTGAAAAAAAAACTGATACGTCGTGGGAAATCAGGCCTACGACTTTTATCAACTTTGTATATTCCTATTGCAGTATCGAACATTATGCCTGATGCACCAGTTATAGTATGATGCTCAAAATTGTGCCTGTCAGGATCCCGAGCCAGCAAATTCCCTCAGATCCTTATTCCATCACTTATTTCTTTCCAGGCGTTCATAATAATCCAGTTTCGAATTCGTCACCACCGCTGAATAGGAGCACTGAAGACTCATTTGTACAGGGTAGCCTCAATCAAAGGTAAATATATTCACAAATCCCAGTCAGACCTGTGTCTATTGTTTTATACTGAAATTCCAGCACCTTCTAGCTGGTATTTGTGAATATTTTACTTTAGGCCGAGGCTAACCCTGTATAAATGAGTCTTCAGTGCTTCTATTCAGCGGCCGTGACGAATTCAAAACTGGACTATTTTGTGCCAGGTAATAATTAACTACAGGGAGGGGGGGTTGGGATTTGGGGATTTGTTTTAATTCCCAACAAGAGATCAGCTCCTGCTCCCATGTTTTTTATTATTATTATTATTGGAAAGCCTACACAGCTTTTTCTTAGCGATTATGGCTCAGAATGCACTGTCAATCAGAATTACTGAGGAAAGTTTTGTCTGCCTTGGACCCAATCCCAACCCCCACCCCTTCTTACTTTTTCTAGTCAAAGAGAATGTCACGCAATCTAGTTAAGCTGAGGGATTTTTTCAAAAATATATATTTGAGGTGAGTAAATGTTTGTCTTATTCTTCCTTCATTGCTGTTACGATTTCTTTCAGACGAAATGTGAACATTTTGATGCATACTTGTTATATATAGAAAATTTTGATAATGACTGGCACAAGTCAGGCTTCAAAGTAAACAAATACGCACATACGGGAAGTATTGTCAAGATGTTTACAGCTCAGTTTCCCACAATAAAAATGCTGTTCTTTTCGGATAATTGCCACTATGAAGTCAATAATCGTTTGTTTAGTTTTTGAACTGGTGGAAAAGGATCAACTTCGCAAAGAATTCAAACTGCTGTCCAAGTTCACTCTTGTATTAGTCATTACAACCTCAAGTTCAAAAGTTCTAAATTTCACGCAAGTACCGTTAACGTTTTCAGTTCTCAAAACTTGCCGTTTGAATTACCCCAAAATTTTATTTCATAAATTGAAAGAAAGATTGCTCTTTCGCTGGAATAGCATTTACAGAACGAAAGCCATGTACCAGGAAGAGTTTTTTGCCGTTGAAAAATGGCAAAATTGATAGTCGCAATAAAACTCTTTCAGAGGGTGATTTTGAAAAATAATTAAAAATTCAGACTGGAATCTTTTGAAATTATAACAATGTTTTCATACAAAGGAAGGGTCATAATATCATCTTATAACGCAATGGTCATGGTATTTGTTTCTGTTTCTATTCATCATGTGAGGATGCGAAGCGCATTTTTCGGTGCTCTGAGGGTCTCTCAGAGGTGAAAATTCAAAAAAAAATTATTTTGGAAAATGTCAGTCTCAAGAAACTGAATCTTGTATTTTCTAAAATAGGGCTTTAAGGTGACAAAGTTTGGGAGATTTCGATTTTCCATCTTGCACACCTATCCCTGGTATTTACAGAAAGTCGCTCTTAAGGACATGAAACCTTACCATATTACACTTGACCTGGCGGCAGAACCTGTCATACATCCACCGCAGTCAGTTCCAGTGCACCTTGAAGACCCTTACCAAAAGGAACTAGATGACAGGCCCACTGACTGGGTCAACAGTATTGTGTAGACAAAAAATGACAAACGAGAAGTCACCAAGCTCAGGGTCTGTTTAGACCGCCGTGACCTGAACAAATGAACAAAAAGGGAACATTGTTTTAAGACAGTTGATGAGGTGGTGACTGATGTCAATGGCGCTAACTTCTTCACCATTGTGGACACAAAAAGGGGGTACTAGCGCGTACCACTCGACAAAGAGAGCTACCTCACAACCTTCAGCACGCCATTCGGTCGATGTTGCTTCAAACCTCCCCAATTTGGCCTTGTTCTTTCACAAGACGTGTTTCAAAAGCAGCTCAACACAGCACTTGAAGGCCTCGATGGCGTCACTGGTATCGCCAACGGCACATTTGTATATGGATCATCTGAAGTTGAACATGACAGAAACCTGACCAAACTCATGGAAAGAACACAACAGAAGGGTGTGGTATTCAACAAAGACAAAGTGCAGTTCAAGTGTAAGGAAGTCAGCTTCTTTGGACACACCTGGACGCCACAAGGAATCAAACCTGACAGCAAGAAAGTATCAGCAATCCTAGACATGAAACCGCCTGAGGATGTCAAGAGCCTACAGAGCTTCCTTGGCTTAGTCAACTATCTGATGAGATATTCCGGACACCTAGCTACCCTGTACCACTGAGGGACCTGACCAAGAAAGACACAGCGTACTCCTGGGGCTTTGAGCACGACCGAGCCTTCACTAAGATCAAGAAAGAAGTCCCATCACTTGGCATACTTAGGTACTTCGAACTGCATGCAGAAACCGTCAGTGAAACCAACACCTCACTAAAAGGATTAGGCGCTGTACTACTACAAGACGGACAGCCTGTTTACTAGGCCTCTAAAGCCCTCACCTCGACCGAACAGCGATACAGTAATATTGAACGTGATCTGGGGACTTGAGACGTTCCATTACTTCATCTGTGACAAGTCCTGCACTATCCACTCAGATCACAAGCCGACGATTTTCAAGAAGAAACTAAGCAACTGCCCTGCGAGATCACAGAGGTTTGTACTACAAGCTCTGAAGTACGATGTTACCGTGAAGTGTGTAAAGAGAACTGAAGCACCCATCGCCGATGCCCTCTCCAAAGTATCACCACAGCCAGCTCCACCTGAAGGAGAATTCCCACAGTTAGACATCCACCAGGTCACAAAGAATCTCCCAGCATCAACGATAAAGCTTCAACAGATTCGCCATGAGACAGCCAACGACCCAACATTAAGCAAACTTCGCGACGTGATACATGAAGGATGGCCTGCGACCAAGGAGAAGTGCCCTAAAGCACTCCACAACTACTGGAACTTCCGCGAGGAACTCACCATTGAGGACGGCCTTATCCTGAAACAAGAGCAGATAGTCATGCCTACCATGCTCAGGCATGATACTCTCAACACCATCCACTACGGACATCTTGGACAAGAAAAGTGCCTTCTACGAGCCAGATCAGCAGTATTTTGGCCAGGCATCACCAGAGATGTCACCAGCCTAGTCCACAACTGTACCACCTGCCAAGCACATCGAAGAAAACAACAGAAGCAGCAAATCCTACAGCCTGAACCACCCTGCTACCCATGGCAGATACTAAGCTCAGATCTGTTTGAGTTCAAAGGAAACCAATACCTCCTGATATCTGACAAGTACAGCAAGTTTCTGATCGTTAGAAAGCTGACCAGCACTACCTCCTGTGCTATCATCAACCACCTGAAAAGCAACTTTGCTTTACATAAGATACCAGAACGGCTTACCACAGACAATGGTCCTCAGTACGCATCAGAGGAATTCCGCGACTTCATGCAGACCTATAGAGTAGAACATGTTACCAGCTCCCCAATGTAGCCCCAGTCTAATGGCTCTGCAGAACGCATGGTTCAGACAGTAGAGAATATCCAAGAAATGTGACGAAGAAGGAGAAGACCGCATCTTGGACTACTATCCTACCGTACGACACCCATTAGCAGCAACTTGAACTCCCCAGCAGAACTGCTGAACAACTGCAAGTTCAGCACCACTCTACCAATGTCCAAATGTGTAAGTGTCGCTGTAAGTGTCAGCAATACTACCAGTAAGACAAAGGAAGAGCTGTACCAGCGACAAAAGCCACAAGCATTCTACTACAACAAGACTGCTAGACTGACACTACAACCATTTCAATCAGGTCAGCCAATCAACATCTACGACCACCAGACTCAGAGATGGGAACCAGGAACAGGCATCAGACCTGCGATGGAACCAACATCCTCCATCATTAAGAACGACCGAACAGAAGGTGTCTACCATCGCACTCAATCACAGTTGAAACCCAAACCCGAGGAAAGGATAACAGCATAAAAAAACCACCACCAACTACTCCTGAGACAGCAACATCGCAAGATAGCTCAGCTACCCCACCTCAGGACGGGCAAGTGTACACAACAAGATCTGGATGCATTTCAAAACCTCCAGGTAGACTAGACATTTAAATACTTGAACTATGTTGAAGACTACCGTTATAATTAGCTATGCATATCATTCTCTGTACAATCGTTTTACAAACCTGTTTTGTTTAAGAGAGATGGGATGTAACAGTATCTAATCTCATATGATTATGTAACGTAACAATTTCTCTACGTCACGCATGTTGATTACGTAACGTGTAATAAATCACGTGCGGCATTTTTCCCGACCACATGCTTTTGTAGGAATGGCTGAATAAACTACTTGAGTTGAACTACGAGTCTATTTACACAAATCACACGAAAAAATGTCAGTACCTATGAAATAAACACATTACAGCATGGGACATGTCTACGATTTTTATTCACTCGTTAATACTTATCAGAAAACTCATGAATAAAAATTGTACGCGTGAATTTCCCATGAAGTAATCTCTATACCTCTGCTCCCAGCACTGATCGAAAGGAAAAAAAGAAAACCTCTACGATCCACCGGATAGTGTTTGTAACGGATATGTTCTAGATTTTGAGAAATCTGCATCAAAAACTGCAAAATTTAAGGCAAAGAAGTTGGTGGAGCTAGGCGGTCATTTCATTTGTCATCTTATGAAGTGAAAGCAAAAAGGCGAGTGATTGTGAGCCAAGAAAGGGAAAAGGATAGTAAGACTACTCCTGTAGTTGATCAGGTCTCTGGAAAAGATGGAAAAGTATACAGAATCGAAAATGGAATGGTTAGAAATCAGTGTGAGGAACTGGCGAGGAAATTGACAGACCACTGGAGTCAACAAAGCGAATTATTCAACTTCAGAGATATCAGGACGAGTACAAAGCAGACTGCTGGATTACTGGAATTAATTATTTGTCGTTCATTTAATACATTTTGCTGCTATAATTTTCACTTGGCTTGCATTTTGGTATGGGCTTTCGGGCCCTCTCTCTGTTTATAGCAGTTCAGTTATTGCTTTGTTTTACTGCTATGGGAAGAGTTTTAAGATATGTTCATGCATTCATTCTCATGTAGCTTCAATTTATTTGATCTGTTAGATTGTGGATCAACTCCTTAAACGGACTGAATCTCTGGAGGGCCAGTCCAACGGGGATTTTGCCAAGTACATTGCCTTGTCTATGGCTGAAAGTGTTGCTCGAGGAAGGCTTCGTTTTTAGACGCTGCAGTTAAAGGCCTCCGCCCTTGCCTTCAAGCTTCAACTGGGATATTTCAAGCGTACTTTCTGGCACTTTTCTCAGATATAGATTACACCAAGGTGTTGGACAGCCTTGCTAAGGTCGACAAAGCCCATAAGAAGGCGGCCCCTGCACCCTTCCAAGCTTTCACCCTAACCAGTTGAGATGCTTTTCCTTTGGCATCCTTGTGGAAACGGCAGCTAATTGTTTCAGGAGACAACAGCAGGCACAGTATGCCCCTTATTATAAACCTGTTGGTCGTGGTCACAATAATTAATTCCCTGTGCTATTGGAATAATAAAGATCTCATGCATGTCACTCTTTTAGTTTTTTTTGCTTTGGTCCCTCCACTCTAGGAATGGCAGTTTTAGAACGGGAGTTTTAATCACTCGCAGATTACCAGGGCTCCATGCTGCCATTCCCTGAGTGCAGTCAAGTCTACCCTTTAGCGTTCTCATACTCCCTCTTTGTTCTTATCCTCGTTTCAGCCTCATTTTGAGCACCTCTGTGTTAGTCGTTTTTCCTTTCCAGACCAGGAGTTATCAGAGAACTTTGGCCCACTGTGCTACTCTGCTCCCGGGTATGCCTTTAGATGTGACTCAGGGCATAGCAGCCCTTGATAACTCACATGTTTATCCTTTGTCTGTTAACTATGTCCTTAGTGGCTCCAAAGCAGCAGATGTCTCAATGCTCACTTTTAGAGACCCAGATGCATTTGTGGCCGGTTGTATCCAAAGTTACCTTCCTTCAGGCCAAACATTGCTGCTGTCACCTGTTACGACCGTGCGCAGAACGTCCTCATGTGGATTGAGCATAGGGTTGTCGTTCACCAGGTTTTTGTTTTCCTTAGGGGAGGTTACAAGTGACAGTCTTACAATTCTGGTCTCTCTCCTCATCGGGTTTTCTATAATTCAATTTCCTGTAAACCCTTTGTTAGATTTATATCGTGCACTATACTTGATACATTAGCTACTGGGGCTATCTCTGTTTGGGAAGAGGTCAGTGTGGAAATCCCCTGACTTCATTTATCATTCTATTGGTCTTCTTGCCTTGCGTTACTTTTGCAGTGTCTCTATTCCTTGTTCTATGTACTTAGATGAATGCAGAGGAGAGCTTAAGTGACCTTTACAGACTCCTGTAAGCAAGCTTTCCTTCTCCTTCTCTTTTCTGATTGAAATTCTGCAACAATGCTTCAGGAGACGACAGCAAATCATTTCAGTGCACATGGTGGAAATCCTCAAAATACCAACAAGTACCAAGGATTGTCTGTCTTGGCTCCATTTCGTTTAAATTGAAAGTAACACCACCAAAGAAGTTTGGAAAATCCAAGATTTAATCAAACTCATTAGAATTGAAATGGAAACTCGAGAGGCAAGCGAAGGAAACAGAGTCCATAGAGATCCAAGTAATCGTCTGTCCTCAAACAACAACCAACGACCACAGAACAAATCTAAGGAAATCCCACCTTCTACTCTCTACTCAAGGCAAAATGAGAAATTCCGAATTCGTTGGTTATATTGTGGAGAGCATCATTATTACGCAGACAGGAAATTATCCGACAGAAGAGTCATTGTTTTATTTGTTTATGACCTGATCATAGATTGCCATATTGTACAAATATTAAGAAGTGCCGAAACTGCAACTCATCAAATCATCATCAATCCACATGTGACCGAAACGAGAAAAACAAAAAACAAGAGCCCCACTCGTCTTGTACTACTGAACAGTGTACTGAAAGACCCACCGAATGAAGCAACACAACTGTCTTTACCCAGTTTATTCGACAATGGTAGTCAGTGCTCATATGTAACGGACACCTTGAAATCGCAACTAAATCTTGAACCTTTATATGAAGAAACACTGCATTTGAACACTTACGGAGAATAAGGATATCACTCACAAGATTGTGACTTAGTAAAAATTCGTTTAACTAAACCTGGATCTGAAAACGGAATGTTTTCCTATAAGTTTCCATTCAGGACTCACCATACTTTCTTTCAAATATTTATGCTCCAAACAAATGTAGTGAACAATGTACCTTTTTTAAAGAGATATCAAAAATTTTGAAAGCTACTAGAAGAGAACAGGATAACCCAATTATCGTCGGAGGTGACTTTAACATCATACTTGACCCTGACTTAGATGGACGGGGCAGAAACAACAAAAAGAAAGACTCCGCAAAATTAGTACAAGACATGCACATTGATTTCGAACTGGTTGATATCTGGCGTATTAGGAACCCCACTGCATCATGATTTACGTGGCGTCAAAAACCTCTGGTTGTAAATAGGCGTCTAGATTTTTGGCTTATAAGCAACAGTTTGTATAAAAAATAAATATTTGGAAGACTATTAAAGTCCGTGGAAAGCTTTTTTAAATCCGATTCTTATCCCTAGCTTTTCCTGAAGAAACAAACAACGCCTACTGCTAAAGTAAAGTTAGCTGCAAAGTATTCAAACATCGATATTTATTGGAAAAGTGTTTATTTGCTAACTTTTCGCACAACATTAGAAACTAAACTTAGAGAATTTCAGTTTAAATTTGTTAAACCGTATTGTCTTTACAAACGAAAAACTGTTTTATGTCAGCTTGGCTGATTCACCGTCCTGTCTTTCTGCTGAACAGAGGTTGAATCCGTAGAGCATTTACCCTTTTCCTGTAAAGTACCATCTAGTTTTTGGAAACATGTCTTGTCCTGGTTGCGTGACTATAACATCTCTGTTGATAACCATAAAGAGGAAGATGTCATTTTTGGTAAGTTGGATATTGCAGAAGATTTTCTGCTGTTGTTTAAGGATATTTTGCTTCTGGGTAAGTTTTATATTTACTCTTCGAAATGCCAGAATGGTATACCTTCTCTTCAAGGTTTTATAGCCAGGACACAATACAATATCGAACTCCATATTGCTAGGGAAAAGAGACAAATTAAACAATCATTTTAGAAAGTGGGAAAAGTTAATAAGCGTTCTTCCAAAAAGTGATGTCATGATTAATTTTAATCATTAGTTTACAGTGGTCATTGTAATCTACATACTAGGTAACTATTGCTGTAATAGCTTTGACTGTGTTTAGCTTTGTATTCTTATATTTGTACAATATAGGCATCTGTGTGTGTGCCTTCTCTCTTTTTTTTCTTCTTAATTTCTATTTTGTATGTAAACGTATGAAATGCTTTAACAAAAAAAAATTAAAGGGTGTGCCCTCACACTGATCCTCCCCCGCTCCAGCTGAGTACTATCTCAAGCTCGCTAATGTCATCAAGGTGGGTGCTCCTGCTGATCTTATTGCTCAGGATCCTCTAGCTGTGACTGAAGAGGTAGATCTTTACTCCAAATACGACTCCCTTAAGGACTTTATTATTGGTTTCCCAACTCTTGCACCATCTGCCCAGAAGCGCCCTTTATTAGTAATTGTCTAATTGTTTAGGTTGGGGTAATTATTATTTCGCTGGTTTTAGTTCAGGATATAATCAAATTTTATTGTGGGTGTATTGACATTAGGGGCTCTGGTTTCGGTCTCCTCTATTTCCCCATGGCAACTGTATCCTTCTCTGTGGCTGCCAGTCCTCCATTACTCAAAGGAGTGCAGGTAAGATCAGTGTAAATAGGATACTACATACAGCAGGTCTAACCCAAGTTATGTATAAGAATTTACCACGTTCAATTAATTATCACTTCAAACAAGAAGTCGTTTGGTACGCATATGCCTGTGTGATTTCTGTGGCATGTTTTATCTTGCCTGTACTCCACTCCCTTTGGTCACTTTCAAACCCATCCTTCCCTCCCTCATTATACTAACGCTTGCCTCCACATATGAAAGTGACTTCCAGTCCTCCATTACTCAAAAGAGCGCAGTTAAGATCGGTGTAACTAGCATAGATTTTCAGTAGACCAGGTTCCCTCCACAGGAAGCCCAAAATATCCCATAGTAGGTGTCTGTACTACTCAATCTCCTCTGCCGCATGCCACGTACTACTGTAAGGTGGCAATATTGCTGTACACACCGGCTAGCTGGTACTATGGACAGGATGGTGCAAACAAGTGAGCCAACAATTTCAAGAGCGTTCATTAGATGGACTGTATTCTTATCAACAGTAAAAATAAACCATTGCCAGGGTTTTTACCAAGCAAACCTTTCAAAGGAGTTCTATGATGCTGGTTATGGGGACACACAGAGGCATTAGGAGATGCAATTGAAACTTGAATAAGTCACTCAGAGAATTATGATATCAATAATATCATCATTTATTATTCAACTTCACTCATAAATAATTATATAAATAAAATATATCCTTATTAGCACCACTAGCTGTTGGCTCAATGGTTGGCCTAAAAAAAGCGAAGGTGATTTCCTATGGTTCAAGGCCAAAAAGGTAATGTATTCCATAAAAACAAATCATTGGATAATACAATTCTAGCGTTTTGATTGGCTGGGCTTGGCTTGTTTGTCCACTGAACGTTGGCATAGAGGCTATTCAATAAAAGATTTGGTTTGTGCGACAATTATATTTTTTAGTTACGTTTTGTTTTACTTTAGCGTGTTTTTCTGTGTCAACTTGCACGCTAAGCGTGTGATTGATGACACTCAACTAAAACAAAGGGTTAGCATGGTAACTACACAGAAACAAAACATTGCGTGTCCTTGATTGTTTCAGTAATTAACTATGCACATAAAGTGTGTCTTTCAACTCACTAAGTGTGTTGTGTTAGTGTGTTGTCACCGTGTTATCTTCTTTGTTCTCAAAATCATGTGAAGGGTCACAAATTATGGTTCTCGAAACAGCAGTATACGAGAAAGTTTAATTTAGAAATTTGTGGAACCCTGAGGACGAACACAAGAACTTAGAGGATACCATCATGAAATTATCAGAATGCTGGTTACAACTTGGTGTTACGGTGCACGAATTTATGTTAATTAGTATATGCCAATGTCTATGTCACATAATGAAAGTATCATGGAGTCAAGGTTTCATAGGTTTCGTGGTGTCAATAGTTTCATGGTTTCATAAGTTTCGTGGTGTCAATGGTTTCATAGGTTTCGTGGTGTCAATGGTTTCGTGGTGTCAATAGTTTCATAGTTTCATAAGTTTCCTGGTGTCAATGGTTTCATGGTTTCATGGGTTTCGTGGTGTCAATGGTTTCATGGTTTCGTAGGTTTCGTGGTGTCAATGGTTTCATAGTTTAATAGGTTTTGTGGTGTCAATGGTTTCATGGTTTCATAAGTTTCGAGGTGTCAATGGTTTCATAGGTTTTGTAGGTGTCGTGGTGTCAATGGTTTCATGGTTTCGTAGGTTTCGTGGTGTCAATGGTTTCATAGTTTAATAGGTTTTGTGGTGTCAATGGTTTCATGGTTTCATAAGTTTCGAGGTGTCAATGGTTTCATAGGTTTTGTAGGTGTCGTGGTGTCAATAGTTTCATGGTTTCGTAGGTTTCGTGGTGTCAATGGTTTCATAGTTTAATAGGTTTTGTGGTGTCAATGGTTTCATGGTTTCATAAGTTTCGAGGTGTCAATGGTTTTGTGGTGTCAATGGTTTCATAGGTTTTGTAGGTGTCGTGGTGTCAATGGTTTCATGATTTCATAGGTTTCGTGGTGTCAACAGTTTCATGGTTTCATAAGTTTCGTGGTGTCAATGGTTTCGTGGCATCAATGGTTTTATGGTTTCATGTGTTTCGTGGTTTCATGGGTTTTGTGGTGTCAATGGTTTCATGGTTTCATAAGTTTCGAGGTGTCAATGGTTTCGTGGTGTCAATGGTTTCATAGGTTTTGTAGGTGTCGTGGTGTCAATGGTTTCATGATTTCATAGGTTCCGTGGTGTCAACAGTTTCATGGTTTCATAAGTTTCGTGGTGTCAATGGTTTTGTGGCATCAATGGTTTTATGGTTTCATGTGTTTCGTGGTTTCATGGGTTTCGTGGTGTCAATGGTTTCATGGTTTCATAGGTTTCGTGGTGTCAATGGTTTCATGGTTTCATAGGTTTCGTGGTGTCAATGGTTTCTTAGTTTCATGGGTTACGCGGTGTCAATGGTTTCAAGGTTTCATAGGTTTTGTGGTGTCCATGGTTTCATGGTTTCATAGGTTTCGCGGTGTCAGTGGTTTCATGGTTTTATAGGTTTCGTGGTGTCAGTGGTTTCATGGTTTCCTAGGTTTCATGGTTTTAACGGTTTCGTAGTTTCATGTGTTTCGTGGTTTCATGGTTTTTATGGTTTCATGTGTTTCGTGGTTTCATGGGTTTCCTGGTGTCAATGGTTTCAAGGTTTCATAGCTTTTGTGGTGTCAATGGTTTCAAGGTTTCATAGGTTTCGTGGTGTCAATGGTTTCATGGTTTCATAGGTTTCTCGGTGTCAGTGGTTTCATGGTTTTATAGGTTTCGTGGTGTCAGTGGTTTCATGGTTTCCTAGGTTTCGTGGTTTTAATGGTTTAATTCGTAGTTTCATGTGTTTCGTGGTTTCATAGGTTTCGTGGTGTCAATGGTTTCATGGTTTCATAGGTTTCGTGGTGTCAATGGTTTCATGGTTTCATAGGTTTCGTTGTTTCATGGTTTCATAGTTTCATGTGTTTCGTGGTTTCATAGTTTCATAGGTTTCGTGGTGTCAATTGTTTCACGATTTCATGTGTCTCGTGGTTTCATAGGTTTCGTGGTGTCAATGGTTTCATGGTTTCACAGGTTTCGTGGTGTCAATGGTTTCATGGTTTCATAGGTTTCGTGGTTTCATGGTTTCTTAGGTTTCGTGGAGTCAATGGTTTCATAGTTTCATAGGTTTCGTGGTGTCAATGGTTTCATGGTTTCATGGTTTCATAGTTTCATGTGTTTCGTGGTTTCATAGGTTTCGTGGTGTCGATGGTTTCATGGTTTCATAAGTTTTGGGTGTCAATAGTTTCATAGTTTC